CCAGGTCCCGCATGGTGGCGTACACTGCGGTTGGGGTGCGGTCAGCGCGCCATGTCCCGCACGGTGGTGGTCAGAGGCCCCGCCCGGCCCGCCCTGCCCTCCCAGGCGCCCTCACCCGTATGTACCTTTGAAGCTCCTGGACAGGTCTGAGGCCAGGCGCACGGCCAGGTGCAGGCCGATGCCGGAGGAGCAGCCCGTGATGAGCACCACGGTGCGCTCGGTGGGGTGCATGGTGCAGGGCTCTGGGGCTCAGCAGCGGGTCCTGATATCCCCGCTGTGCCTGCCCCTTGTTGTGTCTGCCTGCAATCTCAAGGCCACTCCACCGTCCCTGAGCAGGGCAGCCCACCCAGCTCTGGGTCAAAATCAAGGAACAAACAGTGTTGACTGTGGCCTCAAACTGTCCAGGTGTGGTGAGAGGGTGGGGTGGCCTTGTAGGGAGCGTGGGACCCTGGGGCACTGAGTTCCTTGAACCACAATTACGGGCGTCAGGGTTTGCTGCTGTGCTGTGAAAGGGCACTCTGTTCACATGCCACGGGTTAGCATGAAAAACGGGAAACTGGCACAGGTGGAGAACCCAGTCCTCACAGAGGCCATTCAGTGAACTCCTTTGGACAGACCAGGCCGACTGCAGTTATCAAGTGACAGAAAACAGCACTTTAATCCCAAATTGGGGTGGCCGGGGAGGAAGCCCCCTCCTCTCCAAGGCACCCACACCCCTGAGCCAGACCTCAGTCCTTCCTCCCAGAACCAAGTCCCCGGGATGCTGGTCAGGCCCAGTCCAGGGAACCATGGTCTTGTGGTGTCACCGTCACCCGGTGCTGGCCACCTTCCGGGGGGCGAACTTGAGGAAGATGCTCCTGGCCAGCTGCACAGTGTCACCCCGGGGCTGGCCAGGGTACTTCTTTTTGCTCAGGACGAAGGCCTGCTCCAGCTGGAAGGCGTCACTGTCAAACTGGTGCTGCTGGAAAGGGACACCCCTGGCCAGGCTGTTGGCCAGGGTCTCCACAAAGAGCCGCCAGCGGGGCGCATAGTAGTCGGCCACCAGCCCTGCCAGCTGCTTGTTGGCGTAGTCCAGGACGTTCCCTTCTGGTCCCCACAAGGTCAGCTGGTAGCGGCCGTTCCGCTCATATAGGTCGGCCTCGGCTGCGCTCACAGCCACCGCCCGGGCCTGCTCCAGCCAGCTGCCCAGCAGGAAGCGGCGGTCACTGGCCAGCACCTCATCCAGTGCGGGCAGGAGCTTGTAGGCCAGGACACCCCCAGCCCTCAGTAGCCCCTCCGGCTCCTGGTGCAGGTAGGCCGCCCGTGCCTCCTCATAGTACAGGCTGACCAGCTCCTGCAGGCCCTGGCGGGTGACGTCCAGCAGGTCGTAGCGGAAGGCCTGGCTGGAGGTCAGGTTGGGTGTGGCCCTGAGCAGCAGCCGCCAGGCCTCAAACACGTCGGATCTGTTGTACCAGACGGTGGTGTTCATGTGCAGGGACGGCCGCCTGACCAGCGGGCTGCGGTTGTGGCCACGGCAGGCTTCGCCTGAGCAGTTGTAGACGCTGCGGAGCAGAAGTCTCCAGGCCGCCACAGCGTCCGGCTGGGCCACCCCATACCGCCGCACTGCAAAGCGGGCCACCCAGGCCGACAGATCGGGCACCGGGTCTTTCCGCCAGCCCAGCTCCGCCATGAGCGCGTAGACTACCTCGCTGGCCGCTATTGTGGCCCTGAGCAGCAGCCGCCAGGCCTCAAACACGTCGGATCTGTTGTACCAGACGGTGGTGTTCATGTGCAGGGACGGCCGCCTGACCAGCGGGCTGCGGTTGTGGCCACGGCAGGCTTCGCCTGAGCAGTTGTAGACGCTGCGGAGCAGAAGTCTCCAGGCCGCCACAGCGTCCGGCTGGGCCACCCCATACCGCCGCACTGCAAAGCGGGCCACCCAGGCCGACAGATCGGGCACCGGGTCTTTCCGCCAGCCCAGCTCCGCCATGAGCGCGTAGACTACCTCGTTCTGGCCGATACCTTCGGGCGCGATGCCTGTGCCCACCATGGTGGAGTTGGGGAAGAGGCGGGCGGCTGCAGGGCCCCGGTTCACGGCCTCCATGGCTCCAAAGAGCCCGTGGTTGCCGCCGAAGTTGTGCAGCATGCACCAGATGAAAGGCTGACCCCTGAAGGAGGCTGTGCGGGTGTAGACAGGCTGGTTCTCCGCGAACAGGTCCAGAACCAGCAGGCGGCCCCGTGGCACGGCCCCCAGCACCGCCGCCACCTGGGCCGGGCCCCAGAACTCAGGCTGGTGCTGGAAGAGCCATCCTTGGAGCAGCCACACAGCATCGGGGTCCACTGTGGGGGAAAAGGGGAGAAAGAGGGGTGAAGGGCTCCAATCCACAGAAGCAACAGTCACCAGCACAGCGCCAGCCCTGCTCCAGGACAGCCTGGTGAGCATCTGAGGGACCCAGAGGACTGGTTAACACCTGCAGCCCCAGCACTCTGGGAGGCTGAGGCAGGAGGATCGCAAGCTGGGCAACTTGATATGATCAGGGTGTTCAGAGGAGAGGCCTTTGGGGCCACTCAGGGTTAGATGGGGTCCTTGGAGGGGCGTCCTGTGACTGAACTCCGTGGTGTGATGAGAAACGGTGATAATGCCCCACACTGCCTCTGGGAGCCATCCCCACGTGTGGCCTCCTCCACGCGGCTGTGTGGTCCTCAGCCCCACTTCGTCACGGCAGCGAGACGGGCTGGTGGGGGAGACCCCAAGGCCCCACCAGGCCCTGTGGACTGCTGCCTGAGCCGAGGGCAGAGACCCTCAGGCCTTGGCTGACCCCAGCCCGAGAGCTTCACGGGAGCGCTGGCGGCATGGCAGACCTGCCCTGCCCCCGCCTGGCCCCGCACCTGCAGTCATGGCCTCATACACTGCAGCAGTGGCTGCCGCCAGGTAGGCGGGCTTGGAGGAGGGCGGCTGCATCTCGTTGAAAGTGTCAGCCCCGTAGAAGTGGTCTGTGCCGAACTCCCTGCTTAGCTCTCGCAGGAAGAGGCTCCCGATGAGGGGGAAGATGGGGTCTCCCGGAGCCAGAAGGAAGGAGCAGGAGTAGGAGCAGTTGAAGTGTCCCCAGCTGCCCAGCTGGGTGACATTGACCTGTGGGAACACCCTAGAAAGAGGCAAACATCGTGGCCCGTGACCTCCAGCAGCCTCACAGGCTCATGTACAGCTGCTGGATGTGTCTAGGTCCCTGTGCCCCAGAACCTTTGCATGTGCCATGCCCACCTTGCTTATCTTCCACACTGTCCTTCGAGAATCACGTCTAAAATGCTTTTGTTAGCTCCACCTCCTGCCAGCTGAAGGGAGCCCCTTGCCTTCCCTGCCCCAGTTGGGTCCGGCAGCCTGAGGCAGCCGGAAAAGTGCTCAAGAGTAACTGAGGGTCCTTCAGGGACAGCAGGGAGGCCGTGGCACATGGGAAGTCTGGGCTCTCGGACATGAAGGTGGCCCCGGGGGGAGCTGCCATGGGAGAAAGGAGGGTGTGCAGCTGAGGGACAGAGACCCGTGCACCCCCTACGGCCACTAATAAAGTGGCACATACTAATGTCCCGCGCTGTCTCGCACAGCAGAGCAGCTAAGCAAGGAAACCGAGGCACGGAGCAGCACAGGCTGGTTGGAAACAGCCAGGCATCAAGCCTGGGCCTGCACCCGAGCCCGGATGTCCTTTAAGTCACGGCTTCTACGGCCCAGTGTTCCAGGGCAGCTCACCTGGTGATGGCCTTGGGGACATGCCCGGCAAACGCAGGCAACACAGGCGTCATGCCCAGCGCACGCATCCGGTCCAGGACCCGGTGCTGGGAGGAGGAGAGGCCAATGAGTGGGGCCCAGGCTCACAGCCATGGCCCCTGCCCGTCCCTCCCACCCCCTACCTGTAGGTAGAGCTGCTTGAGGTGCCAGGCACGGGGCAGAGGGCCGCCCCAGCCGTGCAGGTTGCCCATGCGCCCCCAGGCCAGGAAGGCCGGGCCGGTGAAGTGTTCGTCCACCTCCGCCTGGG